GGTTTTCTTATATAGACATATTGCTTAGTTTAATATTTACTATACCTACTGTGCAGGCTGAGATTTGGTGAAAATATGTGAATGCTGTGCAAGAAGTGTAATTTAGAAAAGTGTAGCTGAAGGAGAGAGCCTTAATTCTGGCCTTGTAATAGATGCAGTAGTCAGTTCCCACATAGATATTGAGGAAAGAGAATGTCACCCCCAAAAGAGACAGAAGAGGAGAAATGCCTTCAAGCTAACGTGGTGTAGCACCATTTTCAGCTGAGGCTTTTTATGTTTTCATCGCAACACTTAGCAAGATGCATTTCATAATAAAACTAAAATACCATTGTTTTATCTTCCTTGTGTTTATAATTATTTTCTGTTGGACTCTTTGAAAACCCCATGTTACCTATGTGTACATTTTCTTCTCAACCTGTAAAGGTTGCTAGACTTAGTCTCAGCCAGAGTCATATTTTGAGAGTTTTAAATTTTATTTCATTCTAAAACGTGATCACACTTTTAGTTTCACTTTCACTGCGTTATAGGATTTTTTTAATGTTAGATTAGAGGTTGAGTAGAGCTCACTAGCCACGTTGTTTTTAAAGTAAATGTGACTATACTAGTGGTTATTAGAAATATGTTTTTAAGTAACTAATACACATTGTCCAGAACCAGCTTCTCTCAGAAACAGCAATAATACATGTAATCGAGAGAGAAATTGTTTTTCTGTGTATGACACAATTGGAAATGAGAGAGCTCATCAAAGCAGCTCTATTGAAAATCTACATTTTACTATTTTAAGATTTTCACTTTTATTAGTGTTAATCTGTTTATTGATTTTGACATAGGTTCATGTGTGGTAAAGCTGAGCCTGTGAAGTCTCAGCGGTTTTAATTGGGTGACTTGTGAATTAGATGCCTGTAACAGGTATCTGCAAAATAAGGGCCTTAGTTTTGATACTTAGGCAACAACAAAACCAATTTTGAGCCTAGTGACTTTTAAACAGAATCAAAATTGAAATTGTTTCCAAAATACTTTTGCTCTAAACATGTTTGTGCATGTGGCTATGGAGAAGGGATTAGAAATAGAAAGCACTAGTAATAGCCTGCTCTCAATTTCTGTACAAACTTTCATTGCCTTTTCTGGATAAAGTAAGGGGAATAAGTGTCCTGTTGTTCATAAGGGCTTTTTAAGCTAACAGTTCACTAAGTGTCTGTGGAAAAGGTTATAATTTTAAGTCCTGATCAGCCAGTCAGTCAGTCATTTTATGAATTCATTCATTTCATTTTGGGCCACATGTGTCCCAGTCCTTTAAGGACAGCTAACTACAGCTGGAGATCACACCCACATGCAGTCCTACTTACTTCATGGATCACATTAATACCAAGGCTTTAATTTGGAATTTTCACTGTGCATAAATTAGTCAGTGAGCTATGACTGTGGAAAAATAATCAGAAATAAGAACTTACTACGAGTAAGTACAAAGAGGAAAAGAATTGGGGGCATAGTCATCCTGCAAAAGTCAATAGGGAATGATTAGACCCTACAGTCCTTCAGTGTGTGAATACTCCATAATTTCCAAATAGCCTCATTTCTAAGCATCTGCTTATGTAACCACTAGTCTGATTCTAAGAGCATGCAACAATCTGTTGAGGTCTCAGAAAATAGGAAAAGTTTGTCTTTTCTAGCCTGTATGACACTTTTTTTCTGAATTATAGCTACAGATTCACAAATATCAGAGATATTTTAGAATTGTAAAAAATAGAAAAGCCAATAGACCATAATCCAAAAGAAAATAATCAATATGCATGCTTCAGAGTAATATATTTAACTAAAAAAAAATCAGCAAAAGGAAAGTTACACCGAAGAACTTTCAGTTTTAAAATAAGGACACCTATGCAAGAGAGCCAAACACGTGCCAAAAGATTGATCTGGAAATATTTTAGCCATATATTTTATCCATTACTTATGTTTCCCACTTTTTATGTTAATTATATTGCCCAATCTTAGCTGCTTTTATTGACCAGATGCAGTTTTCAAATAGTGTGGTAATTATAGCAGTACTGTTAGTGCCACTATCAATTGAATTAATTAAAATTATCAACTGTAATTCAAATGAATGGGGGAAAGATGTGTTTATGGTGTTGTGAGCATATGTAGCCCAGGAAACCAAAACCTTTATGTAAAACTCTTTTTTTTTTTGGTAGACAATACTTAATAGAAAACATTATAGTCTCTCATTTTATTCTAATATTATGGATAATTGTGTTCCTTTAAAATTATATTACATTTTCACTATTGGAGAAATAGATTAAACTGTGGAATATTAGTTACTAAGGCCTCAATTCTATAAGACTATATTTTCTGTACAAAAAACTTTTCAACATATAATTTAAAAGGAAATACTTAAAATACGAGTGGGAAACAATGCAAAAATGGGTATTTTTGTACATGACAGCAGCAGTAACAATAAATAGATATGTACCCTTTATAAATTCATAATTGAAAGCAAGGTACCTGAGGTCTTGAGAATTATTGCATTGCAAAACTACATACAAATCCAGCTAACATATCCATGGATATCAGTTCAACTTAACCACTCTTTTTCAACAAAATAGGTTACTTCACTTTAGCTATTTTTTCATTCTTAGAGTAACTTAGCCTTGCTTTCATTATCCCAGTAGGAAAAAATGATACATATGCAAGAATACATTAATTATTCTGATTTTAAAGGAAATAGTTACAGCCTGAGAACATTTTCTCCTGCACATCATACTTTTTGATCTTCTGCTTTCACTTTTAAAGCAAAAATAATTAACGGGCAAAAAATTGCAGTCCATGCTGGTGTTTGATAATCATATTATAAAACTTTTTATTGGAAACACTTGGGCCTGATGCTGATTTACAGTGCCTTAGTGTAAAGGGGCTATAAGTGTGAGTTGCCAAAACACTGTAATAGTGTTTTAGTCTAAATGAGAATCAGATCTATTCTTCTGAAACAAATACAACAGTTATTGTTGGCATAACAAACCAGTCAGTTGATACACAGAGCAGCCAGATTCTCATTTCAGGCATATTCCTATAATATGAGTGTGATGGCAGAGATGAAACTGGGGACAGAACTTAACTATTTGCACTGTTATAGATCTGAATGCATTTATTCCAGGAAAAATATTTTTAATAAAGGAAAATATTGACAAGATGACTACTTTTAAAACTATATAAAGGGTTCTGCATGTCAGTGTAGTGTGCTCATGTTTCTATTTGCTCTACTCCATATGTTGAGTATATTTAAATAACCATGTTTCTAGATTCAGCAGCCTTAAAAACTAGTGCATCAGCAGGTATCTAGGATACTGAGTGAGACTAGAGAGAGAACCTAAGTAAGTTGCTTATTGTTGATGTCAGCAGCCATCTGTTTAGAAAGGAAAACCATCCACTTGGTGAAATATTTTAACACTGAATAGAATTACATGGGTTAAGTCTATTTAACTTTATATGAAATGCATTATATAGTGTTATCTTAAATCTTACATAAGATTTAACTGTATATGGTTTAATTCCAAAGCATGTAGCAAATTAAGTTTCAAGTGATGTCGAATTCCTCAGGTTTTAACAAACATTTACAGAAAACCACTGGGTTTACAAATATAACTTTCTGAAGAACATATGCCATGCAGCTAAAACTGAGTTAAACCAAAGATATTTTAAAAGTTGCTTATTTAGTCCTTTTTAGGACTGTTCAGAGTTATCATGGTTAATGCTTAAAAAAACAGTATTGGGAGCAAGATAAACATCATGTTTTGGGGTTTAAGGCAATCTTAATAAGGAGTTAGGATGATAACTTCTTAGAGTGCAGATTATTTTACATCTGCCTACTGTAGGGTTTCATCCAGCTTCCTGTAAAGCATCTGGCACTGGTTGCTCAGACAGGACGATGAACTAGATGGACCATTGGTCTGACCCAATATGGAAGTTCTTTTTTTCTTAAATATAAAATCATGTGTACTTCGTAATATCCTAGTTATTCTTTCTGTTAACCCCAAACAATAAGCCCTACTGTAGCGATGTGTGACCTATTTATGTCAAATATTTTGCAGTGATCTCTTATGTTACCTTTAAAAATCACAGAGAATATTAAGACTGTGACATAGGCAAGGACACTCCATTACAACTAAAATGGCATCCCTTAATTCCACTAATTTGTCATTGTCAATCTCCTACCTACATACTATATGGCTGAGAAGTAACTTCAGGTTCTTTTCATGTGAGTCAAAAGAGTGAGAGGAGCATGAAGGTTCAGCTTTAATTTTGATCTTTCTGCCACAAAATTAGTAATGCAGTATTTGTATTTGTATGTGTGTACACGCACACATGCGCGCGCACACACACACACACACACACACAGATATTCTCTTTGTATCACCATTGCTCCAAATTACATATACTGAACACATTCTGTATTGGACCTGAGCTCAGCTTTTTCACAAGTAGATCTATTAATTTCATGGAGAGCTTTACATCTAGTCAATCCAGAGTATAAAATGATTGTTTAGTGTAGTGAGAGTCTTCCATGTCTCATGCTCCCTTTAGGCCTTTAGAATTCTTTACTTTCTTTTTGGATCCATTTAGAATTTTTTGTGAAAAAAAATTAATTGTGCACTAAGCCTTTGAAAGCAACTTCTTTGGGCAGACTTATTTAAAATGTAACTTAAAGACAGATTTAAACTGGCTAAGATTTAGTCCAGTTTGAAATGCCAAGGGCTTTTTAAGAGAAGAAATAACTTTAAAAACTGCAATAGTAAAATACTTAGTGTACTAGAAAGTGTATATTTATCAGTGTGACACACTGGTGTATATTTACTATGTAATACATACTGACTTTACTACTGAAGTTTTGCCCCAAGTGTGGTAATACAATACTTAACACACAATGTTCTCTTAATGATATGATAAGGTTCTCTGAATCAAATTGCTTCTTAAACTTTGTTTCCTTTGGTTATTCTTTTAAAAGGTACTTATCAGGGGCAATGGACAGGAGGGATGCGGCATGGATATGGTGTACGGCAAAGTGTACCCTATGGCATGGCAACTGTGATCCGTTCGCCCCTCCGAACATCTCTAGCCTCACTTCGCAGTGAGCAGAGCAATGGCACTGTTCTACATGATATTGCTTCAGACAGTCCAGCTGGAACAAGAGGCGGGTTTGTTTTGAATTTTCACAGTGATCCAGAAGCCATGGGTATTAAGAAAAAAGGAGGCTTGTTCAGAAGAGGATCCCTCCTTGGTAGTATAAAACTTAGAAAATCTGAATCTAAATCATCAATATCTAGCAAACGGAGCTCAGTCAGGAGTGATGCTGCTATGAGCAGAATTAGTTCTAGTGATGCCAATTCTACAATTAGTTTTGGAGATGGTGACTGTGATTATTGTCCAATGGAAGACCATGTTGATGCTACTACAACTGAAACGTACATGGGAGAGTGGAAGAATGACAAGCGCTGTGGCTTTGGTATTAGTGAGCGCTCAAATGGCATGAAATACGAAGGTGAATGGCTAAATAATAAGAGGCATGGATATGGATGTACCATTTTTCCAGATGGCACAAAAGAAGAGGGAAAATATAAAAACAATGTTTTGGTCCGTGGAATAAGGAAGCAGCTTATACCAATAAGAAACACAAAAACTAAAGAAAAGGTGGATAGAGCAATAGAGGGAGCACAGCGAGCAGCTGGTATGGCAAGAACCAAAGTGGAAATTGCAACCTCCAGGTATGTAATTGCACAAGGTAGACATTTTGCACTTTCATTTATAGAAATCAAAAAGGACTTGTGTGAAGTAAATTGTATTGAGTTACTGCCCTTAGCAAGTAATATTCAGGTCTCTGTTTATGTACATTGCTACAGACTTTTATGGAGTTGCATTTGTTAACTTGAGAACTGAATTTGCTTGTATAACGTAAAAGTAGCACATGCATACTTTGGAAGTTAGTGTTAGGCTTACTCATTTATTCTTTATTTAAAGAACTTTTAATGTGTGTAATACATGTGGCTGCATCTTTAAGCCTATCTGGAAATTTACACTGGTTAAGAATGCAATGGCCTGCTTGTTATGGGAAATATTTTCCCATAAAACTTTACACTTGTGCTTGGTGTATGCACTTGTTCAATGTCAGTTTCCAGGTAGAATTTAAGGTATGCAGAACTGCAGAGCTCAAGCCCTTCAGCTCATATAAAGGGTTGGGGAGAAAGCAACATCTGTTGGCAAGGTGTTCTTTGTAATGTCTCATTAGTTTTGGAATATGCTTTTCCAACTTAGTCTGAACTAAATAAAATTTGATGACTCATGAAGCATATCACAATGTTCATGTTTTTTTGTCTGAAAGTTGAGAAGAATGAGGACAGTGGTTAATGGTGGAGAGAAGGCAGATGTTTCAAGTTTTAATTTGCCTGATGGTTGGTTGGGGTTTATCTGAAATGGAATGTTTGCATATTAAATCATAACACAGGCAGCTGTCGATGGCTTGTATCTTAAGTTTTCAACAATGATGGTTCTTTTTGCCTGTAAATAAATTAAATGAAGCTTCCTAGTAATTTTCCCTGTTAGGGTAGTGTCAGAATGGTGTTGTCGTGGTCCAGGAATTATACAAGAGGCAAGGATTTTTGGATGGTATCTTTTATTGGAGCAACTATATAATTAGGATAACGTTAGACGGACTTTTGAATGCAAAGCTTTTATGATGCTATGTGCAGAATGAATTCTAGTGATGCCAGTTCTACTTTGGAGATGGTGACTGTGATTAGTGCCCTGTGGAAGATCACTCTGATGCCACCACAACAGAAACATACATGGGAGAGTGAAAGAATGATCAGCACAGTGGTGGCATCCTTTGCATTTGAAAACTTGTCTACCTTTATCCCAACTATACAGTTGGTCCAGTGAAAGCTATCACCCCCCAAAATCCTTGCCATTAATAATTTTCTTGCATTTCAGATTGCTTCTCTCATTCCGACTGTACTACTTTTCTCATTCAGACTGTACTTGGAATTTATGAATGTGGCCAGGAAAAAAACACATGCTGTAGAACAGGGGTGCTCAACTCCCAACCTATGGGCCAGATCCAGCCGATGTCAGATTTTCCCACAGGTCTGGAAATTTGGCGGCAGCGGAAAAGTGGAATTTAACATGGGCACCATTCCCCTGCACCAAATTTCCAGGCCCTGTGCAGAGGTATTGTGCCCACAGAGAGACCAGACCACCCATCTGGTCAACAGGGCCAAAAGGTTGGGCACTACTGATATAGAAAGGAAATTATCTTTCCAATTTTTAGCTTGAATTATATAGTCACTAACTGAAAGGCCACTATATGTTCATTTAATATATGTTTAAAAGTTGCTGAGCAACATTTTAAAAGAATAAAAACGAAATACATAGTTGTTGAATAAATGGATGATTTATGTTGAAAAGCAGCTGAGCAGCAAACAAAGAAGGTGACATTACTGAGCTATAAAAAACAATCTTGAGGGCTACTATCTATCCTCTTAACCAAAGGGGAAATATGCAAGTTGTTCAATTTTGTGGTTACTTCCCCCCCACCCCAACCTCTGTCAAGAGGTCAGGAACCTATTGATCATAGCCATTTAACACAGTAAGAACTCAGTTTTAAAAGTTAAATATTTTAAGCATTTTGTTAAACACAAAATAACAATTCTGGAATAAGAATTGTTAATATATTCAAAAGAATTAAGTTAATTTGATGGTAGTGTGAACCTTAGTACATTATGAATTTTAAAAAACCCACTGAACTAAATAAATATTCATAATTGAATATTATGAATATGTATTTAGTTCATTTAGTATTCCTTCCTAATCAGAGAGAAAAAATATGTAATAATTTACAGAATCATCAAAAATGTGTAGAAGATATCTATGAGGTCTTCAAAAGATGTAAATCAGTAGAAAAAGAATATTCAGAAACCCCATTCCAAGAAGTTGCAAGGTAATGGTTGCTCATGATACAGTTTTGCTGATACTTTGTTAGAATAGGATATTCATTTTTGAACAACTGCTTCTTAAAAAGATGATGCAAGTAAAATGAGTAGAATCCAGTAAAGAGGTGGAAGAACTAACTTGTAATATAACATTTAAGAACTTAATATATATATTGCCTGTTTCAGCAATAACTAAAGGTGCATTATACATCATAGTCTATAAATATCTGAAAGATGGAAAGCCCAAGTATTGAGGTGCCATGTGCAACTAAAGTGGTAGGATGAAATTTTATAAGGCGGTAATTGGGGCAGATTTTTATACCTGGAGAGGTTTGTATATACTTGATAGCTCTTAATTCCCTGCTTCTTGTGATCACCTTCTTTAATCTGGCATTAACTTTCTAGGATTCATTTATTATAAAGTGAACAGGGGCAGCAAACAGGGCATGCAGTTTGCAAGCAGCTTGCTGGGCGAAAGGGGGAAGGGGGAGAGAAACCAGGCATGAGATCCTGCCCTGAGAAGATAAGTGATCCAGAGCTGCCTGTGCCTCTGACTTAGTGGGTATTTGTTTGGTGGGCTGTGTGTGTTTGGGGTGTATGCTCTGAGAAGCTGAGAGGGTTGCTAGCTGAGTGATTGCTGCCTATGCAGGACAGAAGCCCTGACAAGGGGCAGAGCCAGTCCAGGCCCAGCAGGGTATGAAAAGAGACTCCCCAAGTGACCAGGGAGCCAGCAAATAGGGGAGCAAACCGGGCAAGCAGTTTACTGGTCAGTCCCCTGTCCCCGCTCTTGCCCCCAGTCCCCTTGAGGGGAGAGCCTTTCACCTTGATGTGAGGAAGCAGGGAAGAGGGACCCTTTGGGGCCTAGGAAGAGTAAACAGGCCAGCTTTCAGGCAAGTTTGCTAGGGACAGTGTGCTTGGAAGAAGGGCAGTAAGAGGGAAGAGGCAGACTGAGAGCCGGGAAAATGGCTGAAGAACATTGCAATGCCAGAGCCATTGCCACTGCCTCTGCTTGCATCTGTGAGGTTTCTGTCCAGACAGGACTGCTCACCATTGAGACTTCCACCCAGGTCCAGTTTAGTGCTGTGGGAACTGGGGCTTGCAGGTTCCTTCTGGTGACAGCCAGGTGCCTGCAGTGTGAGCAGTACCTTCTGGTGGTACCTTATGGTGGTGTCAGGAAACGGGCAAGAGGTACAGGTGGAGGTGATGAGGCTCCAAAGCATCATCCACCATGAGGACTTCATCAATTTGATGCTGGAGGAGACCTCCAGGACTGTGGAAGAAGAACTACCAGAGGCAGCGCTAGAGAAGGGAAAGGATGAGAGCTAACAGGAAGGTGGAAGTTGGAAGCTTGTGACCTCTGACAAGAAGCAAAAATCTTCATTTCCACCTGTAGCAGTTCATCTGAAGAACAGATATGGAGCCCTAGTAACAGAAGGCTAGGAGTATGTTCCATTGGTGGTGGACAGGCCAGACCTCCCCAAGGTGGGAAAGATTGAGATGACCACCATCAAGAAGAAGTGAGGAGTGGTGGTGGTTGGAGACTCCCTTCTGCTGGGGACAGAGGGAACCATCTGCCAACCTGACTTGTTGTTTCGGGAAGTCTGCTGCTTGCCCAAAGCCTGCATTCAAGATGTCACAGAGGGATTACTGAGACTCATCTGGCCCTGTAACTACTACCCCATGCTGCTCGTCCATGTGGGTACTGATGATATTGCCAGGGGAGGCCCTAAACAGATCAAAATTGATTACAGGGCTCTAAGTGCAAGGGTGAGGGGGACAGGGATTCAAGTGGTGGTCTCTTTGACCCTTCTGGTCAAGGGAAACAGCCCAGGCAGGGCTATTGCCCTTGGCTATCTTGCAAGTCAATGCCTGACTGCGCAGGTGGTGTCTCCAGCCAGGCTTTGGCTTCTTTGACTGTGGGGTGATGTTGCAAGAAGAAGGGCTGCTAGGAAGAGATGGGATCCACTGGACTAAGAGAGCATCTTTGCAGACAGGATCTCTAACCTAGTGAGGAGGGCTATAACTAGGTTTGCTGGGGGATGGAGACCAAAGCCCTGAGGTAAGTGGGGAAGTGAGTGACCTGGAGGAATAGCAAGCGGGGCGGGGCAAGAGGGGAGGTATTCTCATTCTTCCTGAGAAAGGGCAATCTGCTGGTTACCTCGGGTGTCTGTACACAAATGCGTGGAGCCTGGGAAACAAGCAGGAAGAATTGGAAGTCCTTGCACAATCACAGAACTGTGACATGATTGGAATAACAGAGACTTGGTGGGATAACTTGCATGACTGGAGCACAGTCATGGATGGGTACAAACTGTTCAGCAAGGACAGCCAGGGGAGAAGAGGAGGAGGAGTTGCACTTTTTATGTAAAAGAGCTGTCTGATTGCTCAGAGCTCCAGAATGAAACTGGAGATAGGCATGTTGAAAGTTTCTGGTTAAGGGTGATATCGTGGTGGGGGTCTGCTATAGACCATCAGACCAGAAGGAAGTGGTGGATGGGGCTTTCTTCAAGCAGCTAGTGAAAGTTTCCTGATCACAGGCCCTGTTTCTCATGGGGGACTTGAATCAACCTGATGTCTGTTGGGAGGGTAATACAGCGGTGTGCAGGCAATCCAGGAAATATTTGGAGAGTGTTGGGGACAACTTTCCAGTGCAAGTGCTGGAGTGGCCAACTAGGAGCAATGCTCTTCTTGACCTGCTGCTCACAGACAGGGAGGAATTGGTGGGGAATGCAGTAATGAATGGCAACTTGGGCAGCAGTGACCACAGGTTGATAGAGTTG